CGCGCGGAGAAGACCAACGTGAAACGCAGATTTTTTTTTAATCCTACGAGGCAACTCGATCACCTCGTCACATGGCATCAATATATATCTATGCTATAACATATATTAGTGCATGTCAATATAAAGATGAGTAAACAATGTGTAGGGAAGACTACCATAAGCTGATCATCGGTTGTCGTACACAAAATGCTACTCGTTGCCTGATATAATCATACAATAACGCTAACACTACAACGTTTATCGCGTGCACCGATTTCTGTATCAAGAAGAAGCATTACTATTTTTGAATGGTAATATCATAATAAAACTGGTAAAAATTATATTAAGACTTGACCTTGATAAAGGCGCAGCTCAATATTTCTATTCAACTTAGCCTGTATAGTTAATATAACTTCTCCGTCTACGCGTTACTGTGTACTTGACGTTTTGGAGCACACATTTACGCTGGTGTTCGTGCTAGTATTTCTGCTGCAGTCCGTATATGCTTTAAACCCCTGTCACTAGATCATTTAGTTTTCCTGTAATTTGCTGTACACAGATTAGCCTTGTCTGTATTTTTTTTACAGTTTTATTCAAGAGCTACGCTTACATAATGCATGGTATGACTCGTGATTGACTGATTAAGAATTAGTTGTATGATGGTTATTGTCTGTTAGCAAAGTAACACACTCAACGTGATAACATATATGTTCAGTCAAAATGATATATTAATTGATTATTCTTAACATGCATCCTGCCGTTTCGTATGTGAGCAAATCATATCTCATTCGGGTATATCGCATAGTCCTAGACTCTTGTATGATTATATCTTCCCCATTGATATAACGTGTTGTATATTGAATGATGTTAAAGTTTCTCTTACGTGGAAACTGAAGAAAATGACATTTATTATTTGGATGATTTCGCCTATTCACCTAACGAAAAGCATGCTATTAATACACTTGGCCTTGAATAGAATAGGTTACATTATTAGATAATAAAATGCACCCTAGTATGACCTTTTTCTTATTACCGGCGGCATATAGACCGTACTACGTTGAGCTGTCTTCTTATAAATGTTAGGAGCTCAATAAGATCGGTCGGTGGTAAGACTGTCGATCAAGGATAAACTGATTTACCAAGTACTGCGCCTAGCGTGGCCAACCTGAATGTACTGACAGCGTATAAGAGAAAATATGCTGATGCGGCGATGCGGCCAAAGATTAAACATTGCAAAGATTGTACTGAAAGTGTGGAAGTTAAGGAAATACACGAAAAATTTATTGACATGTCGCAGCTCATGCGTGTATCGATTAGAAGACTGGCTATCTGGAAGGATCATAGAGTAAGATATAGGGACATGTTCATAAAGAGCCCTAGTTCACAAGAATGTGTAAGCTTTTGATATGCTACCTAGAATAAGTTAGTTAGCTTGCGTAATCGATGGGATAGGTCTCTAGTGCATTTCAGTGCGTTGGGTGGAGTGCAGAGGAAAATGTGGAGCGGTTAAATGGTTGTAGTAGTGATTAATTACAACTTTAATCACACAATCGAAAAGAGCCATCACGAGCACAACAATATCGAAGAGTTCAAACGGCGAGTTAAGATGTTGCGTCGAGATAGAAGACATATCTTCGTGGTGACCACTTTTGTTTTCAGTTGTGGGCATAGTTTTACTAAGAAATATCTCCCAAATTCCTATAAGGCCTGCCGGAGCTCAGTAAATTTAATCTCCACACTCGTGCGACCTCATACCAAAGTTCGGACGTCGACGCTTTCACTCTTTTGTAGGTTGCCGGCGCAAATTGCGCCGACTGGAAATATATGGTGCTCCCGGCTGATACCCATCGAACCGTTTTGCCGGCAAAACTGATTCTGAATCGTCAAAAGTATGCTACCGATTTGTCGCTGGACGGGTATATCCTTTGTACCATCAATTGATCACCGACTTGTTCTCCGACGGGCCTCAACGTCACTGGCAGCGATTACATACCCCGAACCGAATTTGGCTTTTTATGATAACTGTAGAGACCTCTGCAAGCTGTGACTGTCGTTGTTCAGCGGATGTCGTAATCAATCTTTAGCAGCGATTTATCGGAATAGCACACATGTCGGGAACCTGTTGAGTTATGCATTGCATGGATTTGTCTCTTGTAAATATAGTGGATATATACATGTGATTGCCCGTCCCTATCCGATATATACTATAGATGCGTATGATACAATGGATAGTCGCTCTTCCGTATGTGGCATGCACTCAGCAAGTTTGCACCCAACAAAGAGCTCACTCCTTGATGTAATACAGGTACATCCACATGATGACTATTGATACACCACAAAATTATATTGTTACCTGGCGAATGATCAAACCAGATCATCAATGGCGTCAATTTTGGATATAGAAGCTCAAGCATAATCACTGCTTTAAGTATGGTGCGGCGAGGTGCAGACTAAGTAGGGTGTTTGTGGTCCTTATGTCGACTATTTAAACCTCGCCATAAGCAACTACTACATGTTTCATGACTTCACCGAGTCGACTAGTGGCTGGTGTAAGTTTATTGACGAATCAATAAATTCGTGCATGTAGGTATGTAAATCGCGAAGGTCTAAATATGGTTGTCGGCTTGGATACGAAATTCATGAGATCTTAAACGTAGTGCTGGCATGCCCTACCACGTCACCGCAAAGTCTAGGTCACAAATTGATTACGGATACACATGAAAGAGCCTCAAAGGATGAAGAAGCGGTGTTGTATGAGAATTACCTTACGGGGGCACCGCGTGATGCTTTATACAGATCTTCCTGACCTCGCAGATGCTGCTGGGGTGCTCGGTCAGTGTTATAGCAGTTATAAGAAAAATGGGGTTTTAGACGCGTCATAGACATCATAGAGAATTAAACTGAGCTATAAGTAGGCGTCACATACAAAATACAAGGTTGAGAAATGCGGACTGAGTCGGATAATGTATTTAAGATGACGCTCAGATGCTTACATGCTGTTAATGGGCAAATGATCCGACTGAAAAATGAAGCAACTTCGACCTGTGGCGTGTGACTTCATGCGCTTAGTAATGGCGCTATATGAGGCATTAAAGGGGTCATTCTTGCTTAAAAATGCTTCAATACGAACTAGGATGAATATGCAGTGAGGATAAAGGCAAGGTCTTGGTGCTTTTTGTTTCTCATCTTATTTGATACCTAATTACAGGAAATAAACTAGTTCATGTAACTTATTGACGTTCTTAGATTCTTCATGTGCAGTATGATTTAAAATTGAGAGCCGTAGTGGTGCACCGTCCAACCAAGCAGTGATAATCAACGTCATGACTAAATTCACCGCTGCTGATCGATTTGGATTCTCTCCTTTTCCAAATGAGTAAACTAGTATCTGGTGAGTTGACCGAGTGCATTTTCAAATCTGTATTATGCAACAAATGGCATCATACACAGGTATATAAGTATTTATATGATCTTTATCGTCAGATAAGTAGCTATAGTCGATATCCTCCATTCCTTCGAAGTCAACATGCTAAGCATGTTGACTTACAACTGTTTGTGAACTCGACGCTTTACGTAATTTAATGCTCGAGAAACGCTGATCATTTTGGAACTGAATAGGATATGAGGCGCGCTGTGTATCAAAAGATGTCTGGTTGAAGCCCCCGCTTATAGCGTGAAAGGGCCACAAGACAACCGCACACCCTGCTAATCATTTACTAAGATCATTTACTAAGAGCATAGGATTGTGACTGTTGTGTATCTTATCTGCACATTAGCCAAAATCATGTAAAGAGAGGGTGTGTACTAAGTTTTGCAATGCCCCATTCCTAATCGACGTCATATTATTTAGACAATATTCTTTACCGCCACTTTACATCAAATAGTGCCTTCTATCCATGATCCATTTAACCTTATATGCAGCCTTTCGTTTTTTAGTAACAGCAACGACAACCACGATGGAAAATGTCTCTTTACAATATTCGTCGGTAAAGTTAGTCTAACGAGACACCTTCCGTTTGCACAGACACAGTAGAAGCTACCTACGTCAAACCTCAGTAAACGACAGGTGCTACTGAACCCCATGGTTCAAGGTATATGCAGAGGAAAAGGCAAGTGTTACGAACGACAACGCTTGAGAGGAATGAAAATTAGAACTCTAAAAAGCTCAATCAAAAGGTCTAAACAAACCCGTTGCTCGTATCTTTATCATACCAAACAACCGACTGCAAATGTACGAACTCAATCACCACTCATTGCACGCGTCTCGCCGAAAATGGTCGTTAGTCTGATTACCAGTATGACCTGGTTCGGCCAGTCGGTTGACTCTGCTTTGAGTAATACCTTACAATATTATAACGTAGACTGAGGTTTTCTGCAAAGGGTAAAAAACCGGAGGATAATATCGATTGTCATGATTTTTGTTCTTATTGTTTGCTGGCAATAGCATGTAACGGGCTTCCCCGTGACAGTCAGCACATAACCAGCATTGAAAGCTATTCGAAAGATTAAGTCTGCGGTCTGTAGCCGGAGCTCAACAAAAATAGATCATCATCGAAATACTTTTTGTAAGAAATAAAATGGCTGACGAAATATGTATAAGAAATATCACTTATATAATGAGCTTGTTGAAACGCGTTATTCAAACGTTTTATTCATAATGTCAATATCAGTTCAAGCAGACTCGACGGTACTTCTTATCTTTCTCTCAATTGATGATTGAGACGCAGAGAAGAGCAGGAATGTAACCCCTACTCGTATCAACGACCGCGTCCCTCAATCCGCACTTAACCCCAAAGGTTCGCATCTGCTTGGAAAATAATTCCTTTGTGAAGAAGCGCTGCGTCGTTATCTGCGTCGCCACCACCGCCAGCGCGCTCACCGAGCAATAGCCCCAGCACCAGCCCCAACATTTTCGCAGTAGACCACGTCCCTCGACTGCAGCTCCCTCGTGACGTCGTGTCCGTTGGGAAGAAAGGTCGCGCTTACCACGAAGGTGCGGACAGTTTCACGGTAGCCGTTATATGGTCCGACGACATTCTGTTGCTAACGTCGTGCCTGTGTCCCAGACGCCAGCCGAGATCCAGAAGGCAATTGGTAATCGAGACAGCCAGGAAGAGGAACTCGCGTTTTTAGCTCCTCCAGCGAAGAAGAGGAAGCGGCGCAGCCTGATGCCGCATATTTGGCTCCGTCTGGAGCTCTTTGAGCTCGGCCTTTTGCCGCTACCGTCCAAGTACGCCGCCACGTTGACGCTGAGCAATGTGAAAAAAGCACTGGATGCGCTGCATCGAAAGGATCAGACGAGCGGTGGACTTGACGCCGTTGCTGGGGAGGACGCGGTGATGCTGGACACCGAAGGCGCGTTTACCGAGAGTGATAATTTGAATTCTGTCACGTTTGTGGTCTGGAAAGAAGCAGTGGACGATATTTTTCGGTGGAGAGAGCAGGATTACGAGGCTTTTTGGCTGCTACTGGTACAGTTGCATCGGATGATTCCAGTGAAAGATGAAGTGGCGGACGTGTCGGTGCCGCTAGATGTTGAACAGTGTCTGGAGAAAGAGAAAATACCGGTGTTCAAGATGGCTATTTTTCTCTTTATTCAGACGGTCGAACCACATTCGTGGAGGACGAAATACTCGCTGGAATCGTACAATGCCGTCTGGTACAGAGAACATGCCGAGAGTTTTGTCACGGCGGCTAGTCTGGAAACGGCAGCTGTTGTAGCTGCTACGGCTTTGCCACGATCGCCAATTTTGGTCGCTTTGGGCTCGCCACATCAGAGGGGCGGTGCTAGCCCGCCGCCGCCGCAGTCTCCACACGCTGTGGGCATGGCAGACCGCTCGACAGCGGACGCGTATTACTTGGCGTTTGTGCGCGAAAAGCTAGGAGATTTGTTTGGGCTTCTGTATCCTTCCATCGATATGAACGAAGACTCGTCAACGGTTGTAAGCGCAGACCAGGTTGACCTGTTGTCGTTCATGTTGTGTCTGGGAGACGTAAGTTTTGTGGATAAGCATGTCAAGCTAAGCTCGTGCTATCCGGCGTGGAAGCAGTCTCACAACAGCGGTGCGATCTCTGACACGGACGCAGCTAAGGATTTCGTGCCTCTTGTGGACAATGGAGCCAAGGTTTGTCGATTCTACAAGACCCATTTATCGCTGAACGAGAAACTGTATCCACCAGTGGGGTACTCTGTCGCCCCGTCTGCGGTGAATTCGAAGAGCTCGTCGGCACCTTCACCCCCTGCCTTTTCGCTAAACGGTAGGTAGTTCCTTGCATGTATCACAATGTTTGTGCACAAGTTTGTACTGACGCTGGGTGGCTCTTTGTTTTATTTTTGTTCGTCAGATGACTTTTCGTTGGATAGTGTCGCAGACGCACCCGTTTCAGAGAAGTCCGCAACTCGTCCGCTCGTGCTATCGCACCTCGTAAAGACGACCTTGATCAAGCGCGCCGACGAGTTTGTGAGGTCTAATGATGCTAGCCATCATCCAGACCTCGTCATGTTTTCCTGTCAAGACTCGTACATCTACATCCTGGGACCTGTTCGATATCCTCTCATACGATTTGCTTGTATTTGTATTGGCGTCGGTACTCCCGTACCAAAGCCTCTTTTTTCTTACCACCCGACAATGTTTTCCTTAACCATTACTTGTTCTGGCTAGCACAAATGTGACGATCTCAGCATGCAAGAACTGCCGTATAGTCACGGCGCCAAACACAGGAATTCTACTGATGGAGCGATGCGAAAACGTGCAGCTCACGTGTCTATCTGGTCTCATTCGCGTCAGGTGTGGTACCGACCGTCAGCGAGTTTTGGATCGGCAACAACTAATGGCCTAATTCTGTTGCTGTTGTTGTTGCAGCAACTGCCTGGACACGTGCCTTAACGCGTACACACTATCTCCGATTATTGTCAGTGGCGAAACCCTCGGTGTGGTTTTGGGGCCGTATAACACCAAGTATTCCGGGCTGAAGCAGCAGCTGTCCACGATGCCGTTTTTGTACAACGTGGAGTCTCATGGCTGTTGGCACGTTTTTCTGAACTTGGACGACGAGAAAGGTAGGACGTTCTATTTGTACAGATGGCATCCCGTGCTGTTTCTTTTGTTGAGCACGCTGACACGCTGTGGTGTACTGCTCTGTTCCTTCACAGACAGCATGGCTATCACGGAGAAATCTGCCGTGTCAGTCCAATTGCCCGAAACGTTTCGCGACGTGTGTGTTCCTTTGAAATCAGCAGCCGGGGTCGGGTCCACAGAGCGACCGTTTCCAATCCCTTCCGAGTACGTGGCTGCGGTGAAGAAACAGCACGAGACGGTCGAGTCGCTCCGACAGTTGGTAACGAGCAACGAGTTTGACTTGACGGCGAAGCGCACCATGGAAATGGTGATTCAGCTCAAGTTCAAAGAGTGGCTGTCAGCGACAAACAATGTGCGGCAGATTCTGGACTTGGTCCATCTCGATCGCGCGAATGAGACGGCCAGTAAAGAGTCGTAGATGTAGATGCAGCCACGCACTTAATGTGTGTGTGAGATGGACAAGTATAGTAGATAGAAGAGATGCTTTGGCTCGATACATACAGCAAGACAAACAACCCAATGATTACAGCAAGACGAGCGTCTTGATCATGGACGGCAAAAAGTAGCTTGTCCTTTGCAAAGTTGAAGTGCGCTCGTGTGTGATTGGCGGAACTGTCGCTAGCCAATCAGATACTGCCAAGGCATTCGTCTGGGCTGGGCGTACCGTCTTTTGCAGCGGTCGACGGTATCCAAGATCGGATACCCTCGTATATCCGATCGTAAAGATTTGTTTTACCACTCCAACTATACCCATCAAATTCCATGTACTATGACAACTGATTTGTATCCGAGTAGCCTGATTCGCACCGTCCACCCCGTGAGCCCGGCGCAGGTCATCCCGCCCTCAGCCTGCAGCCATCCATCCTCTGTCGACCCCACAGGCATTGCGCGCGCTCCCTCGATCCTCAATCCGCTCACTTTTGAATCTGCTCACTGAAGCGCACTGAGGTCCGTTTCATTGAGCACTGCCCGTCGCGTGTCCCTTTTTCGTGCCCCTACTACTGCACACGTTCACAATGGCCGCAGTCGACAGCGCAACGCTCGGGTTCCCCCGCATGGGCCCGAACCGCGAGCTCAAGTTTGCGCTCGAGAAGTTCTGGCGCCACAAACTCAGCGAGAGTGAACTCCTGGACGTCGCGCGCGCGGTCGAAGAAGCCAACTGGCGCAAACAGGTGGCCGCCAACGTCACGCGCGTGGGCGTGGGCCTCTTTTCGCTCTACGACCACGTGCTCGACTGGACGTACTACTTGGGCCTCGCGCCCCCGCGCTTTGCGTCGGTCCCCTCGGGGCTCGCGCAGTACTTTGCAATGGCCCGCGGTGTCGACGGCATCCCGGCGCTCGACATGACGAAATGGTTCGACTCGAACTACCACTACGAAGTCCCGGAGCTCAGTGCCACGTCGTCGCCGGTGGCAAACTTTAGTTCGTACGTGAGCACTGTCCAGCGCGCGCTGACCGTCGTGGGTACCACGCAGACGGTACCCATCCTCCTCGGTCCGTTGACGTACTTGGACCTCAGTAAGTACGACTCGACCACCACGTTCGACGAGCTCCTGGCCAAGATCTTGCCGCTCTACACGGCGCTCTTGCATGACCTCGTTGCCCTGGGCGTCCAGGAAGTGCAAGTCCACGAGCCGTCGCTCGTTGGCGCACACGCTGACCAACTGGCAGCGTACTTGCCGACCGTGTACGGCTCGAAGAACCAGCGAGGCGCGATCCAGCACGACGCCGTTGCGCTGAATCTCGTCACGTACTTTGAAGAGATCTCGAGTGACGTGTACCAGTGGTTCCTCTCGTCGCCCGTGGCCGCGCTGTCGCTGGACTTTACGCGCGGCGACAACCTGTCGGTGCTTCGGCAGTTCGGGTTCCCCGCTGGCAAACGCCTTGGCGCGGGACTGATTGACGGGCGCAGTGTGTGGAAGTTCAACCCCGACACGGTCGTGGCGCAGGTGAAGGAAATCAAGCAGGTGCTGGCTGCGTCCGCGGACACTTCGCTGACGATCCAGACGAGCTCGTCGTTGCAGCACGTGCCGTACACGACCGAGTGTGAACAGGCGCTGAATGCCGGCGAGACGGACGGTCTGCTGGGAGTACTGAGCTTCGCGTACGAGAAACTGGCCGAGCTGGAGGTGGTCAAGAAGATTGCCGAGAGTGGAGACGAGGCTGCGAAGGGCGAGATTGATGCTGCGAAGAAAGCGTGGGCGGTGTACTACGAGAAGAACCCTGCGAAAGCGGCCGTGCAGTCCCGTCTGGCTGCCGTCACCGAGTCGGACTTCAAGCGTCTATCGCCGTTTGAGGAACGTCGCCCGTCGCAGTTGCAGGGGCTACCGGTGCTGCCGACGACGAGCATTGGCTCGTTCCCGCAGACGCCACAGATCCGTGCACTGCGTCGCAAGCTCAAGGCCGGTGACATCACTCTCGAGCACTACCGCGGTAAAATTGACGAGCAGATTGCCTACAACGTTGGCGTGCAAGAAGCTCTGGGCTTGGACATTCTGGTCCATGGTGAACCGGAGCGTACCGATATGGTCGAATACTTTGCGGAGAAGCTAAACGGGTTTGCGTTTACCCAGAATGGATGGGTACAGAGCTACGGCTCGCGTTGCGTGCGTCCTCCGATCATCTTCGCTGACCTCGAGCGACCGAGCGACATGACTGTGCGTGAGTTTGTCGTCGCGCAGTCGTTTACGAGTAAGCCAGTGAAGGGCATGCTGACTGGCCCCGTGACGATCTTGAACTGGTCGTTCCCGCGCAAGGACATTAGCCGCAAAGACCAGGCTTTCCAGCTCGCTCTGTGCTTGCGCGACGAGGTCGCCGACCTCGAAGCAGCCAAGTGCGTTGTGATCCAAGTCGATGAGCCTGCTCTTCGTGAAGGCATGCCGCTGAAGCCTGCGAAGAAGGACGAGTACCTGAACTGGGCTGTGGATGCGTTCCGTCTGTCGACAGCTGTCGCGAAGAACGAGACCTCGATTCACACGCACATGTGCTACTGCGAGTTTGCCGACTGCATGCACGCGATTGACGCGATCGACGCAGACGTGAACTCGATCGAGAACGCTCGATCTGACGATGAGACGATTCGCGAGTTCAAGTCGATCGGGTACAAGCGCGACCTGGGTCCAGGCACGTACGACATCCACTCACCTGTGGTGCCACCCAAGGAAGAGATTGTGAAGAAGCTGAAGAGCTTCTTGAACCTGCTGCCCGCGAAGCAAGTCGTCGTGAACCCCGACTGCGGTCTCAAGACCCGCAAGTGGCCCGAGACGATTGCTGCTCTGCGCAACATGGTGGACGCGACGCTCGAAGTCCGTGCTTCTTTGTAGACGGAAGGGGCTCCCTCGATGGCCACGAGGAGAATCAAGAAGTGCCCGCGTTTGCACTGAATCGATATATTGTGCGCCAAGTCACTGAGGTAGTACTCGTGACTTCGCGCACGACATGCCTGAAGCACTTGTGCTGGCATGACCAAGCTGCCGAGACGTCAGCTAGAAGACGTCTCGCCACCTTGAAATGATCTGAACAATACAGACGTTAGTTTTCACTTGATGATACACACACAGCTTGTCGTCCATTGCATTCATTGCAGTGCCACTTATTGTGTTTTGTCGATGAGAGCGCCACTTGTGCTCCACACGTCAAAGGCTAAACTAGATGTGGAGATAGCGTTGATAAATGGAGACTTTTGACATGGAGTTCAAGGGCAGCTGCTCTAGCTCTACTGTTGTGCACCGACAAAGTGCATCCAAACGACTGTCAGAGCTACGATCCACGACGAGACGCTACTGCAACTTGACCCAGACGTGTTGTTTGTACGCACGCCTGGTCCCCATGTATCGTTTTCTGCGCCAGGGACGGTCGACGGCGGGAATACCTCTGCCGAGTCTTCTTGCGCGCTGGAAGACGAACTCGACGGCGCATAGTACGTGCCGACGATAAACATGTCTTTGCTCATGAGCAACTGGCCGTCAGTTTTGGCCGACGCGATCGTGTCGATCGAGTGGCCTTCAATGGTCCAACTCAGCGCTGACGCACCCTCTGTAGCGGCGTACGAAGCCGAGCCGTCTCCGTCTCGAAGCGCCAAGTTGTACCTCTTCCGAACATCTTTTGCGGCGTTCACTTGGGCTTCGGTTGGTGTGTCTCCGGAAGTCGCCGCGAGCTGAAGAATGGTCTCCGCTGTTGTCCGGACGTAGACATTAGCGACCGCGCATTCTTGAAGCTGGATCAGCAGCACCGCTCGAAAGTAATAGGTGCAGTCTTGAATGAGACTCATGGCCACCATGCGAGCGTACCCGAGCTCTCCGTTGAACGGAAAGACGTACGAACTGATGCCGGCCAAGGAAGTGCACTGTAAATGAAGGTACGGGTTGTTCTCACTGAGCTTTGCAAGTCGAGCGACTTCGTCGCCATTGCAGGTGTAGGCGGTATCCACTGTCGTGGGCGCTGCCGCATAATCTACAGGTTTGACGGTCCCCACGGACGTGGCCGCGGCCACGTTTCCACTTGCTGAAGGTGGATTCGGGATGAAGGGGATCACCACGGTCGCGTCTGAGGTGTTTGTCGCTAGAGATGAAGCTATGGCGGTGTTGTTGGCCGCCTGGGCGTCAACCGACTCGAAACGTGCACCCACCACGCACCATAGCACCACTACCAGCTTGCAGACCGCATTCATCTTTTTGTGGGCACAAGCAGCTCGGACTTCCGAAGCTGGTCGAAGGTTTCGCTGGTATAACAAATAGTGTGGATGGGTTGGTGAACAATCGGCGAGCAGCGGTGGTAGAGTCCAGGTCCGGACTTTACAACAGGGCGAACTCTGACAGCAGGAATCAAAGCTTTCGATTGCAGTATTGCTCTGCACGCAGCTTTCGAGGAAGTCGGTCGGCCACCTGTCCACACGACTACCATCCATATGATCGACTTGATTGCGGCATCAACCAACGCTGTCTGCACGTGCTGGAAAGGTGTGGAAGGAGGAGGAAAAAGAGAGAGGAGAAGTCCAGCAAAACATTTTAACAGCTGGAAAGCGACGCTCGAAGCACTGGGATGTCTGTCTGTCAACATCGTTGCGGAGATTCCGACAAAGTTGCTCTACCGTTTGGTGCAGAGCAAATTGTCGCTTCCAAACAGGTGCGATAAGTTACACAGATGTGATGGATGCTGGACATGTGCGAGCAAACAACGTCGTCGCTTCGTATGCACGTTCAAGCTCGACCGGCTGTTCCTAACATGCATTCTTCTCTGGACTAACGGCGTGCGCAAACCCTCTTTCTTTGTATTGACAAGGTTTGTCGACTGTCAACCACGACGGCTGTTTGATGCAGATAGCACGTATCGACACAACAGACAGTGTGTTCAACAAAGACTGTGCTTACGCCGTTTCTTCGTCTGTAAACCTTCTAGTCTTCACGTACAACGGAGACGCGACGAGTACCGAATTGAATTGCAAGTACGCGTTGCATTCCATACGTCGTATTGCTCCGAGAAGACGACATGTACGATGTGCGAGTTAGCGTTGACGAAGTGACCTCTTATTGCTAGCAGCGTTAAGGCCAACTCTGTAAAGCACAGTGCATGGCTTTCTGTCGCCTAGCTCGATGGCCGTCTCTCTTTATTCCAAGGGATCTGACAGCCAGTGGCGGCGATCATATCGCGATGATCGCCTTGTAAGAATGGTCGATAATGCTGAACACGAATGATAGAATGAACGAATGCTCGTCTCTTCTCTGTACATTTCATTGTGAGAAGCGCTGTTCGTCGCGTTCGCACCAGTCGCATCTACCACTGGTGAAACTACTGTTGTCGTGTGCATCGCGTTTTGCCGGTCGACTGCCTTACAGGTGTAGTAAGCGACAAGTCGCGACTACGGATCAGTCGGCCGCAAGCGTGGTAATTCGATGACGTGTGTTTACTATTGGGGCGTTAGCTACTGTAAGTGCCGAAGACAGCTGATTTTAGCCACGGAAACGATGAACGTCCTCGTCTTCGTATCAGCTTTGGCGTTACATAATCCTCGAGTCTGCTATGCGATCATTTTCCGATCTTCTACGTTAGTCTGTTGCTGACAGATAGGAACTAGTTCGCTTGACGGTGGACGTTGTAGAGCTTGCGTCTGGTCATAACGACACACCATCCGTAGACCTAGCCGGGTCTAGATAGCTCGGATTTGCACTTCAAATTCGATATAGCATATCACTGATGTCTCGTTCTTTCGGTCAGACGTATGCAAGCAGCTTGCCCGCTGGACGCGACGTCGGATCATGGCTCTGTTCTCCTTGTTCGACAGCACAAGTCCATTGGTCATCTACAAAAGTGCGCATAGCGCATAGTGGACAATGAGATGCAAACATCAACAGATCAACAACGCAAACTGCTATACCTTAACGTGTTCCGTGTCGTCCATCTTAAAAGGACAGTCCGTGCAAACGCTTCTTGTGATATTATCTTCTCGCTTTCTTACCTCGAATCGATGAGTACTCTAGTACATTCTTCCACGACCGCAATTGACATGCGCTTTATTTCTCGTTCCTTTGCTTGCAGGAGTTCTTTGTAAAAACGCCGCATCGTTCCTGAGCGGCTGAGGCAGCGAAGACTTTTTGCATGCCATCCTTTGAGGAGTGTGTGGTTCCAGAAACGTTTTCAGGAGATCGTAGAGGCGTCTTTCTACAGCTAAGCATGAAAGCTGTAAGACCCTCTTCGTGGGTTTGGTGTTCAAGATCCGATGTCTGAGTAGGCGATGAGTCATATAAATTGTAGATGACGGACATTATACATCGTAACTCTCGCACACCAATATGACCAATCGTAAAAGATCACAATTGCAAGATTATAAACAAACAAAATGCATTTAACAGCTCAAGTCTACGTGTGAATATTCACTCTTTACGTGTACTACTTCTTTGACAAAACATGATTTTGCTAAAGTTGCCGACGGTACCGACTGTACCAAACATTGATGCTGAACCGCAAATATATAGCTTCATGCGTACGTAGACCGAAGCAACAAGGTCCAAGCTCTACACTTGTTGGTGGCGGTGCATATCACATAATACTCATAGTCCGACACAGTTTATAGTTTAGCGACAACGTAAAAGGCTTGCTTATACGTTTATGTTTATGCTGGTGAAAATCCTCTAATCGATGTAAATGACGCACACTTTTGAGAGCATACATAATGTTCACGTAGGTCGTGGAAATCTTTTTGACAATCAACCTCGCTTTCATCATCACAGGATTCACTTTAGTAGCGGAGATAATGGTCGTATCTCTGACTACAAATTCACAGCAATTTACTTTCAATATTGTACGTCTACGAGACGCCTTGAAAGAGTGGACTAGTTGAACGTACTGCAAAGATCACGTCGCTGGAAGGCCTAGTGGATGCAAAAAGTTCAGATTGTACAACGAAGAGTAGCAGTTATGTCGTGTGCACACTGCCTTACACCTTCGTTTATCATCACTTGGCGCCACACGAAGCAGACGGGCGCTCATTTTTACGGGGCACGACCTTGTCAGATGACTGGTAAGACCTTTTGTTAATAGAACACACGACTGCGTGCTCCCGACGCCACGTACACATAACGAGGAAGCGCAACCGAAGCAAACAGAACCCGAAAGCTCTTTCTGAGGGAAAAGTAGAACTGTATTTAATATAGTTATGTCTCTTTAATAAACCATCTTTGCCTTCATCTAACTATATTAAACTACAATCTACTATGTGGGTTTCTTGCTCACCACCCATTGCGCGCGTCCAGCAGTAATTGGTGGTTAATTTTGTTGATGTATCGTGAACATCAACCAAGAAGTGGAGCAACCACGAATATTACCCTAGGGGGTTATATTCTGCCAACATTACCTTTTTTTGAGTAATGTCAACTAAATATTATCTAATTCGATAAGATTCAACAATTGATACATTCCTATCAATTTTTATGTAACGGGCTCACCCCATTACACTCTTTCAGTTAAATGCAATTACTACGCGGATGACGTCGCTTTGATAAGTGCAAAGCATGTCATTGTAGAAGCGATGGCAGAGGCAGGACATCTATTAGATGCTGGCCAAGTGCTTTCTAAGCAGTAGAAGATGAACATGGTACAGTCTTACGAAGTGGTGATTGACACAAAGATGTCTTAATACTCTCTTTTTTCCATTCTCTCTTCGTGACTTGATAGAAACATGCAGCATGCTAAACTGGCATTAGTTGAGCAACATTCACAGACACTGTCGGTCTCCCTGCCTTAATGTGTACTTGGTGAAAGGGACGTAGATCGTGGGCGGCGGTGTAAGGTCGATATATACGTCTTAATTTGATAGGCACCAGCGCATTGATAGAAGATCTAAAATGAATGAAAACAATGACATTGCTTGATCATCTACGCAACAAGTTTCAGCGACCAATACGGTTACATCGTCGTGTATTTGTGGCTTCGGTGTAGAACAATCAATCGGACAAGAGTAGTGCCGCGAGGCTGATACACGTGTTGATTTGTCGTCGTGATTTCGCGCCGACACCGTGACACTACATCATACGATACTAGTATGACGCGTTCCATCTGTCGCACCAGGAGCTTCTGACAATGTGATAACGGTAACGGGACACGCTCTTGCTCAGATAACTGAGCAAGGCTTTGTATTGATAACAATAAAAGGGTGCGTACGCCCGACGTCACGTGCACGTGGCGTGGGGAAGCGCGACCGAGACAATACAGAACCCGAAAGCTCTGTCTTGAGGGAAAAGTAGAACTGTTATTTAATATAGTTATTTTCTTACTAAATCATCTTTCGTCTTAGTCTAACTATATTAAACTACTGTCTCCTATGTGGGTCTTCTGTCCACCACCCATTGCGCGCGTCCAGCAGCAATTGGTGGTTAAGGTGGTTGATGTACACGGTATATGAACCAATAAGTGGACCCCTCCACATATATTACCCTTAGGGGTAATATTCCGACAACATCGCTTTTCTCGAGTGATGTTAATTGAATACTATCAAAATAGATATTATTCAAAATTGGTACTTTCGAACCAATTTTTATGTAACGGGCTCACCCCGTCATATCACACCTTCCTTAACCATCTGTCACTATCGTGATTGATTTGTTGATCACTGAGAGACTCCCGTCGGGTCTCTCTGGGGACGAGGAGCACTTGTTGGTCTTTCCCTTCTCATTTAGACTTCAGAGCGCGTGAGTAGTCGGTACATGCGCTCCGGGAGCAAGGCTTCGTCCGAAGCGGCTGCACAGATGCGTGCAGCCGGATGGCAAAACACTCAAGGCTCGGCAGCAGGCGATAATGCGCCTGCTGCTGCAAATGAACAGCCTGCAACACCCATAGTTGCAGGTGCAAGCGGTCATCCACGTGCAGCTTCTTCACCCGCAGCTTCCGCCGCGGGTGGAAGTCCCATGGACGTCGATCCCGAATTAAAGTTTGGGCTATTCGGGAGAGCCGGATCCCCCGTCCAACTCCAAGTCGCCCACAAAGCCTGACCGTAAGGTTGCAAAAACGAAGACTGCTGCGCCTCGCGGCAGTTTCGATCCTATATTGCGGCATGAGATGTTCGGTTCATCCGACGATTAAGGGAATTCGTCACCGGGATCGAATCGATCGCGCTCGTATTCATACGAGGCGAGTGTGCAACATGAGGACGTACGTCCTCATGACGATGTCGATGAC